ACCAAATATATATTGCCTGCCATTTGATTTAATCTTCAAATAAGCTCCAGGAAGCAGGTCCCTGGACAGTTAATCTTTAGTTTTGTAGCCCATGCACATTTTCAATAAGGTTACCAGGGAATTAGGCCTGGTAGGGAGGGGAAAGGCATATTGTCTTATTCTAGAGACAACTGTCGAGATCCTGCTAGCAAATTATAACTCCCTTAATATAAAAAACTTTATTAGCCAGGTCCCTGCTGCAGTGAAACTGTAGGCACTCAGGAGGGGAATGTTCTTCATGTTTTCTCCCTGGAATCAGATACTTGTCCAGTTTTAAATATATAAACTCTAAATATTATGGTTATAAGACACTTTAGGGGCAGCCTGGACAATGCTACGGAGCTGCAGCTGAGGATTCTAAGGGGAATGCTGATGGATTGGGGGGGTCAGAGATTTATCAATATAATAGTGAGGTTAGGGAGGGCTGGTTTGTTTCCCTCCTTAAGCAGCAGTACACAGGTTTGTGGGACACTAGATCCCTTTACAACTGCACCTAGAGCCAAGAGAAATATCTAGAAAAAGTGAAATACATAAATAAACCCAGGGCTTTATTTCCTGTGTTGTGCAGTCCCCGGGGTATGAATGAAAACCTGCAGCAATGAAACACTTTAGACCTCTTTAGAATATTTAGGTCTACATTCCCAACTCAAAAGCATATGACACAGGCAAATTTTAAAATAAAGACATTTGAAACAGACATGCAACACAAGACATCACTGTAAAAATCCAGTAAAAATATCCCAATGCTCATGTCCTGTGAGGGAAATATATTTGTCCATACTCTTCTGTCCACTTTTCTGGGTAATCTCATATGCAAAAAAACAGAATAGTGGAAAAATAATATTAAACAAAAGAAGAGGAATTGGAATGAATACACTTTGAACAATGGTAATTTCAGGAAAATCTAGAGAAAGGCTGATAAGACAATTTTTTAATAAGACTTGGAGGAGTATAGAAGATATCAGACAGAATTGCATCAGAGTGGAAGTTCAATAGCTAATCTGCAAGAGTAATTGTGGCATTGGTTCTTCAAACAATTGTAAAAACCTTTCTATCAAATTAAGGTTCAGGTAAACATGTGTCTCATTTACATGCTGCAGTAGCTTATAGTTTATTTGCATTTTCTAAATTGTCAAGGTAAAGAAACAAACAAAAAAAAGACACAAACCCACATTAAGAAATATAAAAAAAATGTACTTTGAACTCAGGGAAAATTCAAGGAAATAAAATAAATAGAATTTAATTGGTAAAAGAAAACTTAATCTAGCTCATAAATCAACATAAACCATTTTTTTTTCCCACTAAATATTCTCACTGTTGCACCATTGGCAGTGTTAAGGCTGTGGTTTCTGCTTGCAGTCTCCTTTTATCTGTGAACATGATGATTATACTTTTTTACAATCCCATCAAAAATACCACCGTGCTTTTGGCAGAGCAATAAAATTATTCATCACAATTTCAGATGACTTCTCTCTTACATTGAGGACAGCTGGGACAATGCCTCCTTCTCATCCTCACTGCCCTCTTCCCTGCCTTGGAGGCAGTGTACCACACTGCTTTTGAAACTATTCTCTTTTGGCCTCAGTGCCCCTTCTTCTTTTGCACTTCTCTTCCTAGAGTTGTCTAATCATTCCTACAGTGTAAACCCTCTTCATCCTCTCCCAGTGTCCTACTGGGGGCCTTTTCCTTCTGCCCACTTTTCATCTCTGGGTAATCTCATATGCAAACAAAAGCTCAGTGAAACGCAACACTGACTTCTAATCAATACCCGAGACAAGTCTCCATCTTCTTATGGACTGCAAGCTGCACCTCTCCCTCTTTCTTCTCTGCTCAGGCTATAAAGGGTACACAAGAAAGGAGGAAGATGTGCATTTCAAAACGTGGAAAGGATGAAGATGGGCCTCAAAGGATTGCCTTATTATCATCTGTAAAGCCACCTCCTCATTCATCTTCCTGGTCTTAAAATTCACTTGTGTGATGCCCATGGAGCCTGATAAGTGCTAGGTCCCAGCTGTTCTGGAACTGCTAGTATGTCTGTCTCCTGTTCCTGAATTCAACCATTATATATAGATATATATAATTAAAAAAAAAAAGTTAATGCTTTTACTGTAAAATCCCTAGAGCAGGAACCATTTTTGTGTTTGCACAGAGATAAGCAAAGTGAAATACCAGATTCTGACTCCATCATACAGGGATTATGGTGCCAGAAAATATTGTTAACCCATCTCAAGCATCTCTACCACAAAGAATTTATGCTTCCTGTGAAAAGATGTATGGAACTGGGAGAACAAACAGCCTTGACTCTGGGAATGTGCCAGTGCCTCTGAGATGCACTTTTCCTTAAAAAAGACACATATGCCTTCAAGATCTGACACTTGGTAGGAAGGGCCATTGCAAGAAAAAAGGCAATATTAAAATACTAAGAACTGAGTTCCTTCCCCAAGGAGTAGATTATCATGGTCCATGTGGACATATTACCCATGCCCTCCTTCATATGGCCCCAAAGACTTAATTTTCTTCTATCCTCAGATATGTTAAAGTATATTATTCTGCCTCAGTGCCCCAGAGCAAAATGTGCAGGATTCAGACCATAGTAAATAGATTACTGGGGAGAGGAATTTAAAAATCTGTGTGACCAAATCATGAGAACCTAATCACTCTACAACCCAACCAGAGAAATTTGAATAGTGTTTCAGGCACATTAACCTCAAATAGCTAATCTGAGCTTTTTTTTTTTTCTTTTTTTGGTCATCAGTAACAGGTGATAACTCAATTGCAATTTCTTGTGAATTACATTACATAGTTCATCATAGTTGAAGGAATCTTTCCATCAAAATTATAACTCAACATCTAAATACAGGGTAAAAAAAGTAGCAGAGAATAAGGCATCCTAATTTTTTCTGGTACTTTATTTTATTTTTAGGCACTAGATAGGTTTTACAGGGATTGATTAAGGGTCACTGGTAGATAAGGGAAATTTACAGTACAGCAGGCCTGTAACATGTGAGGCTATGTATAACAACCAGTATAGGTTGTTAAACACAGGAAAAGATGGGAATATTATTTTTTCCATATGGGAGAAGATGGGAATAATGCAAGAAACCCTGCTATTATATAAGTGCTCTACAGAAAACCTGCCACTGCTGTCAGTGAAAGAAGCCCCACTGCACGTTTAATTTTAATTCTACACATAATTCTTATTTCTTTGATGTCATACATAACAATGGCACCGTGGGAGCACCTCCATGGACACTTGCAATTCTTAATGATGGTAAAGACACAGAAACAAATTTTATCATAATACATACCAAGGAGTGGGATATTCCTTGGGTGGGTGGCTGAATAAAAGAAAAGAAATTTGGAGAAAAGCAGAATGGGGAGAATCTTTAAAGTTTAGTTTGAGGATTGGAATTTCCATTTTGGAGCAAATATCATGGGTTTTTAGATCTATTTTGATTTGGAATCAATAACAACATACTGGTGAGCCAGACACTGATTATTTTCATACAATCACTTTTTGCAAGAGTGTCAAGGAACTTTTGTTTCAGGAAGCACCAAAAATGAGAGATTTTTGAAGGCAAAGTTTCAACCTCTGCTGGATGAGAGAGACCCTGTAAGTTCCAACTCTGGTTCACATTCCTCTTCATATAATGTCTTCTATGCAGTCAGAACAAGAGGTCTCATTTATTTTAATCCACTTAAGTAAAAATTTATGAGGGAAATTAATTTTGTGTTAGAGTTATGTTCTGCTTCTATAAAACTAAAATCCTTTAGTCTAATCTTGACTTTTTAAATCATAGATGATGGTTAACAATCTAAAGTCTAATACATCTTGACACAAGACATTGCTTCAAATCCAAAGTTTCAATGGTCCATTCTGAAACTAAAGTGCTTTTTTCCCTACAATGCCTCTGCAGATTTTCTATATTCCCACAGAACATTTCAATGTTGACAACTTAAAATTTTTTGATCAGACCTGCTCCATGGTAAAGGATTATTTTATATTCCCCCATTAAGAAAGTGGGAGTTTACACCTTGGAGAGACAATGACTTGCCCTGAACATGTACAACTTCTCACTATTGCAAAAAGCCTTCCTAATGAAATGTTCTAGATAATTTATCCCTAGTAAGGTAGCAAATTTTCCTTGAGAATGTCATCTTGAGCATTACAGTGCTTAGCCATTCTCTTCCAATATTACACTGCGATAAATAAAACGGGCAATGAAACTTCCTATGACTCTCAAAGGTGAAATTCAGCCTTAGATTGGCAACCATAATAAATATCCATGACTCTTAGATCTGGTTAACTGACCAGCCAAACAAGAAAGTGCAGGAGTGTCAAGCCTCTGTGGTGAGGATGACTTGAGCAGATGTAGTGCAGGAAGACCATACACTACAGATATTTAATTCAGCTTCCAGCACAATAAACAATGTTCACTTTTCACTAAGATGGATATGGCTTTAAATAAAATCTTCAGGTTAAGAAAATAAAAGTAGATCAGGAATTTCACCTGAAAAAAATCTGACCTGATAGTGATGGCAAATGGCTTATATACCATAGAAGCAATATTTATTTTTCTCTCTCCTCCTAACAGACATTTCAAGAGCCAAGGATGCCAGATGACACAAAAGATATTTTGTGTTCTTGATCCCAGTGGTGATATCTCCTCTGAGAACATTTCCTTTCAGGAAAGTTTGACTTCCCTGATACATTCTATGATTCTGAAAGGGAAGTATTTTACTCTAGTAATACCCAACTGTAAATTACTCAGAACAAATATGATCTCTGTGGAAAGGAAAAAAAAAAAAAAAAAAGAATTGTCTTGCAAATTGCCTTGCCTCCAAGAAAAGAGAGAGACTATTTACAAGGGCATGAACTAATGGAACTAGGGGGAATGGCTTCAAAATTAAAGAAGGCAAGTTTAGATCAGATAATAGGAAAAAATTATTTACTGTGAGGGTTGTGAGGCTGGAAAAAGCTTCCTGGAGAAGTTGTGGATGCTTCATTCCTGGAAGTGCTCAAGGCCAGATTAGATGGAACTCTGAGCAACCCGAGCTGGTGGAAAGGGGGTTGGAACTGGGTGATCTTTAAGGTCTCTTCCAACCCAACCATTCCATAATGGTATGATTCCGTGGAATGTACTTGGAAGCAACTTAAGAAATCAGAGTTAATCTGCTGAACACAAGCGCTACTCCCCTTCTGTTCATCCATTCAGAGTGACAACATAAAGAAGCCACCGAGCTGCACACCTTATCATAACTAGCACCAAAACACAGAGAGAGGAAGAGAAGAAGAAAAAAAGGGTGGTGAACAGGGAAGATTTAGAAAGAGAATGGGAACAGTTCATCCTGCCTCAGGTGTTCTTCACAAAGTTGTGCCTGGGATGGGCTGATCTTACTGGAGATCGTTAACCATAAAGCAGAGCTGGAAGAGAGGACGTGCTGATGAATAGAGCTGGCATGGATCTGGTTCCCAGCAGGTCTCCTGAGGGCCTGTAGTCCTACTGGTACTTGACTTTCCCAAAAGAAAAACCTGCCTCCCTGAAGTAACAGGACAGAAGGAAAATAAGGTGACATCATCTTAAAGAAAGAGATCAACCCCACAATCCTCTATGGAAAAATAAAATATAAAAACAATGCAGAAGAACCATTTAGCAAGGAATCTGTTGCAAAGTTCCATTTTTTTAATATTTATTTGCCATATTAAGAAAAAAAAGAATTTAAAAAATCAAAGTATGACATATTATGACATTGTCAAAAGACCCAATTTGATTTAGGCATTAAAATCCCATTTTTAATAGAAACTCAGAAATGGACTCAGCTAAACCCTCTCAAAGTAATCTTTGCTTCATTTTTTAACAGTATGAGGATAAATGAGAAGCTTATGAGAAGCAAGACTAATGTGAAATAAACAGATTTTTTTTTTTTTTTTAGTCACGGCAGGAATCACAGGATTGAAAAATTCAAAAAAGGATTTCTTTGCTCAAAATGGGTATATTCCTTGTTCCATGGAGGGGGTCTCATTTCAACTTCTCAACCAAGGCTACTTGTAAAACTGCTGTGGGTTTCATTAATAAAACTACCAAAAAATGGTGATAGGTTTCTTTAAGCACTCAGGACTTGCTGTGGAGCTAGACACTGTCATGTTCAAGCAGCCAAGTACCATTTGTATGTTTGGTTCTGGATTATCACAAGATCTGGAACAGAAGCTTTTGTTTACCTTCTGAACACAGTGGTCCTACCAGAATCAAAAAGCAGGAACTTCATCCATGAACAGGAGGACTTGAACCAGGAACCAGCTGAGGTGAGAGATGGTTTTCATTTGCTGCAGAATCATAATAGGCAGAGAGAATTTACAAAAAAACATAACTCACGGTACCACCACACACTTACTTCTGCTCTGAGCAGGAGTGAGCTGGTTTTGTGCATGGCTCAGGCTGACCTGAAGCCACTCACTGACTATATTCAGTCTCCCAGCAATGATTATGACTTTATCTCCATGCTGTACTCATGTGTCTACACACCTCTTGGCTTGGGTGCTGCCTCCTCAGAGCCCAGGGATCCAAAGCTCACACCTGACTGAAAAATGTTAGGTACACAGATATTGTATTAGGCATAACAGAAATATAATAACAGAGGGATAAACAAAATTACACCGAGAACAGCATCTTCTGGTTTTGTCACCCCTTTGGTACAGGACAAGTAATGCACTAAAAAACCCATTAAAGATGATTTTGCTTATAATTTGAAGCATATACAGTTTACAGATTATTAGATTAATGACAATTTGACCTTGAAAACACCTCTATCTGCTGAAAGAGCAACACTCCATCACCTGTTTTGATTCATTAATGTATCATTTAACTTGGTATGACACATGTTCAGCAGTTATAATTACATTATGGCCTCCCTATTACATCAGCTCTGCTCCAAGTTTCTGTCACCACAAGTCCAATTTTCAACACAGAGCAATCCAGTGCACTCTTTCCTTATTAGTGTCATCTTTAATGTAGCACAGAGTCTGAACCATTACTTGGCACTGAGAGTTTAACAGCAATTAACCCCTGCTCTATCCCCAGGGAGAAGTACATCAGCAACTTGCCAAAACACTGTAAACAAGCTGGCCAAGATCAATGCAAAACCATGCTGGCTGCAGAGCACCTACTGTATTAATTTAGGATTGATATAGAAAAAGAGAAAATAGTCTGCATGAGATTGACCTAAAAGGATGGCCCACACAGGTTACACGATTTTCTATAAGCTGAAAAGGGAAAATTCTAAATCCCCAGTCAGCTGCCTCATAAACACACTGTCTTTTCTATCTTGGGTTTTATACTAAGCTGATCACCATAGGACTGGCAATGATTGCAGAGAATAAATATTTATTACCTGATAATATGTTAAAAAAGAGAAAAAAAATATTTTAGGTGATGAATTAAATAAGTTTCAAACTTTATCAGTAAAGAAAGCAAAAAGGGTGAAAATGACAAAATACCAGTATCTCTCTGCTTCTGGTTATGGAACAGGACAGTGCACACCAAAGCCTAAACCAAAGCTGAAGGTTCTTCCCCCACAGCATCAAAACAAAGCAAACCAAAGACTGCAGAACTCCCTGGAGGTCCCTCACATCAGCAGCACACATCAGCAGCAGTGCAGAAGACCTAGAATATAAATTATTTGAAAAAGGAGTGAAAGAAGTCTTACATCTGAAATTTTCCAAACACTGGCTATTTGTCCATTTCCACAAACTCATAAGTGGGAAGTTTTAAAATGGGTACTGTTGACCTAATTCAAGAGACAGATGTGGAAGATTTACATGTAAAATACCTAATAATGATCTATTAAATTTCAGGAACACCAAAGTGTGCCAGTTTAATACTGCTTTAGCATTGAACTTTTAAATGCTTATCACTAGCATAGGATCTTTCTTTTTAGACTTTGCAAATTCGGGCTGAAAATTTGAACTCTATAAACCTAAATACGTTCTTAAATATACTTAAATATTTACTTAAATCTACTGGGAACTGCCATCGCTTTCACATTTGAAAAATCAGGCTGCAATTTAACCTTCAGTTCTGAACTTCCCAAACAGTCACTCTTAAGAGAGTTGCTTAGCAATTTTAGTATATGATAATTTTAAAACTCATATACACTATTACCTCCCAAGTATCCATTTTGGTTTGTGTTCTGCTAAATTAATATTCCAAGTAAAGTGCAGCTACCATGTTTATTGTGATCCAAAAAAAAAAGTTAAAAAGGGGAAGAAAATATGGTACTATTAGGTAAGAGGTGGGAATTTGAGTGGAAAAGCTGGAATGGAATTCATCTTCCACATGCTGATCCAGATACAAAAATTCAAAATTTTCAGGTCTAAAGGATGTGTCTTTTTCAGTTCTTTTGCAAAAAGGAGAGCATCTGAAATTAGGAATCTAAACTAAATTCGGTTTGTGTCTAATTATGACTGCTAAGCAAGGTAGATGCAACTCAGTGCAAAAAATTCTCAACTGTTATAAAGCAATTGCAGTATTTGCTTTTTGATGTAAATTGGAAAATTGTGGTAATAGGAGGAAGATTGAAAAGAGTGGAAATAACATTAAAATTATGTAAAACAAACAAACAAACAAACCAGAGGCAGTTTATAATGCAGAAGGATGCATACTTGTTAAAAGGCTTTGACATAGTTTCTTAGTTATTGCAAATGAAATTAGGAAAGACCTGAAAGACCATGAAGAAAAAGGGATGACTAGGAATAATATGTGGAATGTAAATTAAATATCAATATATATAATATATCATATAGGAATGAAAAATTAGGTGCAGGTCCAGATGAATGCAGTTTTTCTGTGTGCCTGCTATTTTTTCACCTGTAGACCATGGGGTTACACTATGCTCTTTATTGTTTTCCTTACCTCTTCCTTGGCAACAAAAGTGTTTTCATCACAGTATCACTATTCTGTAAGAAGATGCTTGGTTGGTAGCTTTGCTCCCAGGGGTACTTTGTTTTACTCTGATGTAAACACAGGTGAATTTCAGGCTGAACTGGCACTAGGAGGGTAAAGAAGAGCACATCTGTTCTGCAGCAAATATTCCTAGAAACTTACATCCACTTCAAATTTCACAGCAAGAGCTTTACCAGTGCCAGTCTAAAAGGGAAACAAAATAGCTTTATACCAGCAGGGACAATTTTTTGTTCTGGAAATATTAGGATATTCTGTTTTGGCCTGTTTGGAAGATGTTGTAGTACAAAGCACATTATATCCCTCATGCTATTTTCATCCCCAAGATAGTCTGTATATAATTAAGGAAAAATCAAACTGTTAAGTCCTAGTTGAAAAAAAAAAATCAGAAATTTATTGGCAATAAATTAAAGCTCTGCCTAGCTCCTTTATTCAACTATCTGCAAGTCAAGAGTCACAGATGTTAAGAGCTGTTACAATGCCAAGTTAATTTCCTGAAAATGAGTGCCTGAGGTTGGCTGAAGAAGCTTACCAGTGTTCAACATGAGTGATAAAAAAAGTAAAACAGAGCTTAGAGGAGATAAAGGTAAAGGTGATAATAGTGGAAAAAAGGAAAATTGGTTTGCCTTTTTTTTTTTTTTTCCTCAATAATATCTCAGCTGATCATAAACACCACAGCACAGACACTCCTGATTAATTATTCCTTGGCATGCTTGTTCTTTTCCCTGTGCTCTCTGCAGGGATGACGCTTCCATGAGACATCAGAGAACTCCCACACTGCACCACAGTTCTTGCTTCCAGAGAAATCTGGCTGTTTTATATACAAATAATCCATCAGCCCCACAAGTTGGGGTGGGAATGAATTAGGACCACAGAGAATCGCACCACAACAAACTAAACAATAATATTGAACCAGCTCATTACAGTTTCTGGCCAGTAGAACAAACTGAGATTTTTTTTTTTTTTCTGGTCCAACAAGCCCAGAAATAAATAATTTGGGCTTGGATTTCCTGATTTAAACTCAAAAATACTATCTGCAGAAGTAAGGGTGTTTTTTTCCTACAAAATAACTTGTCTTTGAAGAGAGATCTCCTTACGAAAGACATTTTCTGACCACTTCCATCACTGGTCTTCAAATTTCCTTCAGGTATTTCCAGATGTAAGGAGTACTCCAAAACCTCACAACAGGGCTGGAGGCAGGACGAAGCAAGGGTTGCCAAGCAGCCAATATCAAGACCCAAAGACAACAGAGAACCACCTGGTGTGACCTCTTGTATTACTTGACCCAGACATCTACAAGATCCACAAAAGCAGGAAGAGAAATGAGGATTTCTTGGTTTCAAACTAGCTTTTAGCATGTTTCCAGTCCCTAAAGTGGGACTGATTTCTGCTTGGCTGAAGGCTAGAATGCCCAACCACATGCAGGCTTGACTCCAACACTCTGGCCCATTTTTTTCCTTGCTATTCTAATTCCCAAGAGGAAGGGATTGTTTATATTTTTAATATAAATATGTGTGGATTTACCTTCCTGCCCCTGGTATTGTGCTGCTCATTTCTCTTATTTCAGGTACCACTTCTATCAGTTTCCTCTTCAAGGAGTTTACACGTTGTAATCAAATAATCTTTAATCTGTTTAAAGAGCTTGTATTTCATTTTTAACATGCTGCTGGCAAGGCAGTATTTCCAGTCCTTGTGTAGTTACAGCAGCTCTTCTCCTTACTCTTTCCAATTGTTTAATATCCAAGTAAGATATAGGACATCATTCTCTGGGACTTGTTTAGTCGCTCACAACTCTGCAAAAGGACTATAAAAGAGAATCAGTAATGTGTTAAGCCAGCCAGGCAGCAGTGTAAGTGCCAAGAGCTGAAGAGCTGGGCGTAGTACTCCAGAGATCAGCAAAAAAGTTTCATTTTCCCTCCTTTCTCCTCCAAAGACAGAGGATGTTCAGGTCACATTTCAGACCCTTAGTTTTGCCACCATGCACCTTGAAGTTTAGTACTTTTGCTTTGACTTTCATCAAATATTAGAGTCAGCAGGTATGTCTTCTCACAAAGTCAAAGTCAAATTACAGTTTGGAGGAAATTCCTGGGAATCAAAACCGTGCAGTTCTGCTCAGCTTTATCCTTAACTGTGTCTGTGTAAATCTTTCCTTCTTGCAATTCTTCCTTCCCCATTACGTTTGAGTCTTGACTCACTGAGCAATTGTTTCAGACACAGAATCTAAAGTATTTCTCATCTTTTCCTCACTCTGATTGGTGTCATCTGTAATAAAATAAAGAATATTTCCAAGAAATTACACCATGAGTTAAAAAAAAAAAAATTGAAGAGCATGTACATTTTTTCTGTTCATCCTAACACAGTCATTCTCAGGCTGAACCAAGGAAAAACAATTGGCACGACTTAGAAAGGACTCTAATAATGGCCAGTAGCAGTATATATCTGGAACCTTTCACCTCCAGAATGGATTTGGTCCAGACTGAGAGCAATTTAAAAGAAATATTGACTTCTGGATGCTTAGTGACCTGTGTAAAAATGAATTAATAATCTCAGCTGTTTCCTATAGGACATCACTAAAAGTGTCAGTGCTGTTGCCAGACCAAACGGCCCCTTCATTGAAAGGTGTAAAAGATTTTTCACTTCATTTATCAATACAGCACGCATAAATAGGTCACAGACTAGCCAAAGAAATTGAAACCCTTCCAAGTCCCTGGCAGATTTTGCTATATCCTGCAATTCATCACTTAGCCTACACATGCAGGGACAAGTGGCCCGTGTGTTCACGTGTGGGGTATTGAGTTGGATGGCAAGTGACCAAATCCTCCAGGCTACTGACAGTGCAAGATTATTGGAGAGTCACAAACTTACAGTGCTGGGCCTCTCTGGAATCAAAGACCAGGTACAGCACAAAGAAAAAAGTGAGGAATAGACAAAAACATTGACTTTTTTTCCTACAAGACAACTGAAAAATGCAGCAAAACTCATAATTTGTTGTTGGCAAAGGCCAGTAACCAATTGCTATTCAGTAGAATACATGCTATAACTGGAGGGAAGTGATATATTTTCCTCTTGGAAGTGTCAGGGGTAGGTCAGAGAAAGAAAAGAACATCAGGATTTGCACAGATCTATGTGAAAATTCAGGTTTTACTGAAAGCTCTTCAATTATAAAAATAATGTTTTGGCATGTACAGTTTTCTTAAGCTCTTTGCAGATGGTTATAAATACATTATGATCCAAAACTATAAAAGTCCAGTGAAAAATGAGTAATAGTTCAAATCAACCTCTGTATTTTTTAATTAGCTAAATGATATAAAAACTTTCACCAATAAATGGGTTTTATATGTCTTATTCTCTCTTTGTTTATTTTTTAACAATTACCTTGCGGTCATGAGGAGTTTATCCTCTTCAACTGAGGTTAAAATGAGAAGCTGGAATGGGTGGCAGAAGAGCTTATACATCACTTGCTTTCCACTTGGTTTCAACTCCAGAACAGCACAAGAAATAGCATTTGTCAGCAACACCTACAAGATCCACCAAAGCAGGAAGAGAAATCAGGATTTCTTGGTTTCAAACTAGCTTTTAGCATGTTTCCAATGTGGCTGTGGAGACATGGCTTTTTTCCATGCACAAAATGAAGAGGGCAGCTACTCAAATACTATGCAAGAATAAATTAATATTTTTATTGGCAAAACTATTTTTAAGCCCCAAATGAAGGACACTACTGACTAGATATATATATATATTACCAATAGGTTATGTATTCTATTGCAACCATTATCAATATCTAGCAATTAAAAAAAGTATTTCAAAAGAGCTTCAATTCCATTATATTACTCTACAGAAAAAAGAAAAAAAACATAGTAATTTATATTATGGCTCAAATGATATCATAGCATCCTGAACATCCACTGGCACACTGACAGAAGTTAATGTAGCTCAGTCCTTTCTTCACTCTGGGGAAGCTCTTAACCATGAATAAAGACAATGTGGGTCAGAACACCTCTGATAGAAAACCTCTGTCTGACTGCTGTTAAAAGCTCCTGTAAACATATGAGGAAGACTAAAATATTCTTCCAGGCTTCATTTTTCTTAACCCAAAATAACCTTCTCAGTTAGGCAGATTAGTCATCAAGCCTAGATGAAGGTATCTACACTGAAGCCAACTGAAGTGTGGTGAAATGAACCCTGCAATAAAAAAGCTGGGAAACTGGGAAAAAGGCCATTTTCAGGAAGATGATTCTTGTGTTGTTTTGACATTGAGCTGAGTACCTCTAAAAGCCTGTGAATATCAACCCCTCCCTCACCATCCTGATTCCGGGCTGAGACTTTGACATCTAAGGAAGTGAATAAAAATAATGAGGCCCCCACTTGCAACATGCATATGATGAGTAAGTAAATGAAATCATGATAATTAGAAACCCAAACGAAGGCAAAAAGTTGCACATAGGCTGTGCATCTCTCTTTTTATTTTTTCCCCTCAGGCACTAACTTATCTTGACCAAACCCTCCTCTCTACATGTTCAGAGATATTTTAATTTTGAACTTCAAATGGAGTGCAAATAAAACACCAAAAAAACTTAGGATGTTGCACAATTGTCAGTGGGGCCCATTTTAATATTTAACGACCTGGACACCTGTGACTACTGCTAAAAATAAAAAGAACTAATTTAAAAGGAATCATTGACATAATATAACACATGATAGTCTGTTAATAAAAATGCATACTTCTAATTGAATGCTGGCACCTAGCCACCAACTAAGCATAACTTCAAAAGCAACAGCTGGGAAAGCATCTTTTAGATTTTAATTACAGTAGCTCGTAAGCCACTTATCTTTTCAACTTCTTTCTTCAGAAAGCATTTCTGTTTCACAGGAGTGAGTTCAAAGGTATTTACAACATGTAGGGTAAGAGAACTAGCTCTGACATAGCCAAACTTCACTTGTAAATTTGAATTCTGGACTAAGACAACTATTCTCAGCTTTGAAGTTGTGAGTCCCATTTGAGCCCAAAACAACACAGACTTTGGGCTTGCTGTTCAGGTTTTTTCCCTCTTTTTTATCTATAGATGCAGTATAAGAATTTTTATCATATTTGCTCTATTCTTTGTATTTCAACATTATGTCAGGACTGCCACTGAAACTGAAGTTGCATTGTGCAATTATTTTATTGTTCAAATACACAGTGAGCACACGTAATCTCAGATGATTCAGTCAAGGAAGGTAGAAGGAACTATTGAAGAGTTTGGGAAATGGGCATGGAGTCAGACCTGAGTCCTGAAAAGTGATAAATTCTGTAGCTGCTTCCAGAAAACTGTTTTCCTTGCATTTAAGGAAAAAAAAGTGCAGGAATATATATTATTAAAACTATAAATGAGTTAAAATTATTTGCTAGACTGGCTACATGCCTTGGCATTTTTGGAGAACAGGCCCAGAGAAAGCTGTGACTTATTTAAGGTAATATCTGAAGTCCTACAGTCTGTGGTGCTACTCTAGATTTCCTCCACCACCAAAGAGACACAGAAAAAGTGAGACAGAAAGAAATGACCATGGAATGACTCTTCCTAAACTAAAAGAGGTTTCTGCAGCCCATCTCTCTTCACTAACTCAAGAAATCCAGATAATTTCTTTAGATTAAGCACTAACATTTTAGCCAGCTAAAATTAAACTCAGTCCTGCCTCCACTGTCTTTGAGTCTGTGTAAAAACCTAGGAAATTAAGTGTCCATCTGTGATTTGAAACAAGAAATTCACCCCTAGGACTCTAACCCCTCTCCTTCTCTGATATGCAAAGACATTTATGCAAGCTAAAGTGTTTCTGCTATTAGAAACTCTACTAAGCAAAATAATTTTTGTTTTTCCACTTATACAGTTAACAGAAAGATGTGGTTATAGGGGCCTTATAAAAAGCAAAGTCATCTCCTTTAAAAAACCCACAGAGACATCCATAAATTGTGACAATATTAGCAGATAACCACCAGGAAAAGGTTACTGGAGTGAGTTAATAACTCCATAATTTGACATAATCAGGAGGACCTTTAAAGAAGAGTTTTAAAGAAGAGTTTCTGGAATGTTGCAGACCCTGTGAGGACATGTAGTACAAGCAATAAGTAAAAAAAAAAAGTCTATTTCCTTAAAGATAGACTCTTATGAAATGGAATAGATTAACTGGCAAATGTGTGGAAGGGGAGTAAACCTGAAATGCACCAGAGGTCTTTTCCCAAGCCACAGAAATAACAAGCATCAGAACATCACAAGTTCTTAAACTTGCTGAAGGATTTTTATTAACTGCAATTCTATTAACTACTAGTTAAGAGCTATATCTAAGCCAGTTAATCTAAAAAAAACAGCTCTTCTACCTTTTCTGCAAAGTCAAAATCCCTTTTACCCTTTTGTTTTGTGTGTGTGTTTTTTCAAGACATTATTCATACAGAGATAAGAGTATGTCTTTGTAGGAAGATAAATAGGATGTAGGAAGACTTGGAGCCCTCTGTCCACTCTGCAGGAACAATTCAGGGCATATTTTGACAAGCGTCTAAGAGATTGCTTTGTGCTAACCTGTCCTGTCCTTCCACACTGTACAGGACCTCCAGGAGAAAAGATGACAGATAGGAACCAGGTCTGTCCCTTCCTGGGGAGACTCTGCCAAAAAATCTTATAGCATTGAGCAACAGGTTTAGGAAGAAACACTTTTTTTGCATTCATTTCCAGTCCCAGTGGAAGTGGCAGAACTATGAATCCTGAATTCTTCTCTCCTGCATTGCCATTGTGTTTGTCTGAATAGCAGCTGCACAGCAGACTAGGGTATCCTATTAAAAAAAAAAAAGCTTAAAAAATAAATTCACATAAATAATCACTCCCAGCTATTGAAATATCAGAACTTCAGTTTCAGTCAGCACTGCTATAATCTAGACAGTTCATGCAGAGTTCATCACCAATTTTGGAATCCTATGATTGTGGTTGTAAAGCCTTATCTGATTAATTTTTTGCATTTGTAGCTACACATCTTTCACAGCAAAGTCCAGTATATTCCCCAAACCTTGCACTCTACATTTATAGCAAAGGATACAAAAAAAGAAAAAAAAAAAAAAAAAAAGCTAATAAAAGGACTTGTGATGCAGTGTAAACAGGATGACTGGAGTTTATTAATCATAAATGAAGGTGATGAGTAGTTCAGGAGGCATATAAATGAACAGGCAACCTTGCTGAAAGGTCAGAACCTTTCAACAGTGAGCTGCCTCTGCTCCTTTAAAAGTTCCTTTCTACATTTAGGGTCACAAAGCATCACAAATGCCACTACTAAATCTGAAGTATGCTTTAAAACATTTTAGTTTTGTCCTGTCTTTCTTGTTTAAAAGCTTTGGGTTTAGAATATAAATAACTTGGTAGTTAGGTTTTTAGGGGATTCAACAGAAACATTTTAACACAGGTAACAGCTGCAAAAGCAATAAGATTCCCTTTCCAAGGGTTTGAGCTTCTGCTGCACTGTAATTACTAGGCTAATCCTGTGGTAAGGGATTGGGATCATAAAATTTATTCTTTGTGTTATGGATGCCAGTATCCTCCACCCCGTGCTGAGGTTACTGTAGAAAAGGGATTCCGTTTTAAAGGCTCCTATTTCCACTTTGAGATAATTTTTTTTCTCAAGTTACTACATCTGCATCTTTGTAATGTGGGCACAGTCCTTCTAAAGGCAACCTTTACTGTACTATGCAAATTTAGCTTTCAAAATTAAAATAAACAATTACATTTGTATACATGTCTCCTTTTGTCACAAATATTGAGGGAAGGAGGAGAGATTTCTCATGGCAAGCATCCATTTAGATGTCAAAGATAGTTTTGTATGTCCACTTAATTAAAACATCATTTGCTGTCAAGCCTTAAAGATTTTGGCATTTCTTCTGATTTCTATTTATGATAGCTCTCAGAGGACATGCTGTGAAGTACTTTTGCCTGCTCTAGGCCCAATTGCATGTGACAAATGCATTAGTTTTTAATACCAGAAGTGGATGTATACTTTGATGAAGTATGTCTTTAAGCCATCAGCTGTTGTCTGCCACCAGCTTTTTACAAAAGCACTTTAAACAAGATCACCCCTAGCTGCCTTGACAATTAAATCCCTTTTTTCCCCCTGTAACCAGACTAAAGCCAGCTTGAAATTAGCAGAAAAACTTTAAATGGGGTTTGGATCAAGACTGCAAAGCTAAAAATTCCTAGATCTCATTCCATTATCCTCTTTTCATGGCAAAGCAGATTGTTCCCTGGTGCACAAGGGCTGCGGTCATGGCCCCAGCTCTGCACAGGTAAGGAAAGACCTGCACAACATTTCCAGGCTGATATAGGCAGCCCAGGAAACAGGTTCCTACCATGGAACAGGTTCTCTGTTAGGCTGCCCAGTGCCAAATTCCATGCCCGGTGCCAAATTCCCTCTCTGTGCACATCACTGAGCACCGTCCCTAACCCATCCCACCCTGCAGCTGCTGCCATGAACTCCAGGAGTGACTCCTCTCAGCTCATTTGTGGTTTTCCAGAGGTCATGGGGCAGCTTGCACCACGTGTGGGAAAACAGCATCAATGTGTATTCACAGATTTTTTCACAGATTTGACCACACAGTTACTTCAGACATCCACCGATTTTTTCCTTAGAGTTCACAATGAAAACAAAGATATCATCTTTGTTCTTAGCCCCACTAAATATATAAACACATCTCAAAGCATAATTATTATGCTGTTTGACTCACTGAACAGCTGAAAATAACCTCATTAAATCTAACTTTTCTTGTCTTTTGATTTTTCATTTTTCAGTAGCCAGCTTTACACCTTCTGAATTACCACTGTGACATGCTAAACAACAAAATTTATTTACTTTTTCCAATTAAATAATTAATGCCTATGGTGCAAAAAGAAATAAGAAATTAAGGAGAAACAGAACACCAACAATGAGCAGTGGGTTTGGTTTATTTAATTTCCGTTCTTGTTCATGAAACCTTCTGGGGAGGCTGCTATAGTCTTATCGCTTTATTTTCATAGCTTCCATTTTGCTGATATGTTTTTATCTAAACTAGTCAAGTACCAAAAGAATCCATTACTGCAGATTACATTCTTTGATGAATGTTTCTGTTATTTGTTAAATAATTTATCTGTCAAAGCTGCAGAATCTAGTCAAATGCAGCAAAATACTACTCATCACATAAATTATTTGACAAAAATTTGAAATAATTGTTGAAGGGTATATGTGACATAGTATTTGGATTAGGTTGTCGCATACCTGACATATAGGAGTAAAAAGGCTTTTGGATTATTTGGGTCTAAAAGCAGATCCCAGTTGCAGAGACTTAACAGTGAAGACACACTAAGCTTCAGTTGGAAAAATCACCCCTCGTTTGAATTTTTAGAGGCCGGAGTAACATTTAAGTTCTGTTGGATGGTACTTGAATTCAATTCCTTCTATTAACATGCCTGTTTTAGTATTCTAGTGGAAACAGTAGCAACAGTTTTTCTTCACTGAAAAATTAAAGGACATACCTATCTTCAGCAGCTATGTCATCAATACTCCTCACGAACTGTCTTAAAATTTTAGGAGAGTCTAAAATATGATTTTATCTACTGACTAACTGCAGCAGCAGGGGAAATCAAATCACCCCCGAAAGTCTTATTAGAGCAATCTCTCTTTGACACTTCTCTACATCTTACTTTCACATCTTCAGCGCATTTTTTCAAATTAAAAGAGGGATTTACAGGTAAAAAATATTTTAAGAAATAATTGCATTAGTGCTTTCTCAAAAAAGGAATTAGATGTGAAATATGAAAAAAAGAGAGAACTCTGTGTAAGGTGAACTACATCTCTATTTTGCTTAATAGAGAGAGTTTTCCTTCTGTAGATTGCAGGCAAGTTTGTCTTTAGCCAAATGCAGAAAAATACTACTCATCACATAAATTATTGTATAAAAATTTGAAATAATTGTTGAAGGGTATACATGACATATTTTGTCACATATATGTGACATTTTTTTCTTAAATTTCTTTTTCAGACTGGAAAGACCAAGGAAAGACCCTTGGTGCCTGTTTTTTTTTCCTTAAAATCTTACTCAAAATCAAGTCAAGGGCTTACCTTGGTTTTTTCCTCCTTCCTGTTGGAGCGATGTGGTCTCCTGGAGAAGCTCCCTGCTGCTGCAATGCCTTACCAGGTTATTTAGCTACATCTTCTAATGATGTGTGACCCCAGAGACCTTCCCTCACACACTCTATGAATTGGCATGTTTAGTTATTGACATTGTTTTTGTTATTCCCTTCTTCCCTCCACACTCTCCTTGCCAAGGCAAACAGGCAGTCCTTTCTTCTGTTGCCTTTTATCCCAACCTGGAAATGAAATTTGAGATGATGTTAGTAAGGAGGTAATATAAAAGCAAATTTTTATTGAAGGATTTCAGGAGCTGTTATGGAAAGATGTTCACAAAAGCCTACTTACATGGAGTGAACATGTAGCTTTTAGAAGTCTAGTAAATTAGCATAATTAACAAAAGAGCACCAATTAGGAGGACAAGTGGTGATGGAATTTTTCTTCAGAGTCAATCCCTTTCTAAGTTTTCTCCCCTTCAGTATTAGCTGTACTTTGTCCATGAAATGAAGCTCCAGGAGTTTTCCCCAACCTTGGCATCAGAAGAACCAGCAGAAGATAGGGTTCACATACCCTCTGGGGCTTGGAGTTCTGCAATTTGTTTTGTCTTTCTGCCTAGGGAAAGGCCATGGAAAATTACTGGGGAAAAAAAAAATCCAAACTAGCCACTAATACAATAGGCTACAAATATATGTGTAAAGAATACAGAGAATATATAAAAGGCAAAAAAGGTAAAACCCAAAACAGCATCACTTCTTAGCTGATAGCAAGGTTTTACTCACGTGGATGGGTGTCTATTATTGTGTGTCCTTAAGGACCACAGAGCATTCCTACAGACCAGGATTGCTGCATCAAGAGCTACCAGAGGAAACAACAGTAGAATGCAGGAGTTTTGTGAGGTCCTTGGAGCCACTAAATCCCCAGAAGCTCTTAATGACCTTCTAAAAGAAATTTTACAGGCTAAATTATCTCCTAAAGTCATTTATAATAACGGTTTAATACCTGATTAATAGGACTAACTTGAATTGTCAGGAGCAAGGACTTGGTCATGTACTATGTCATATCTATCTACTATGATCCCCAAATTCTCTTTCATTTTTCTTTAAAAAGGATTTAAAAGCTTTCTCTCAGGGAAGAACCTACCAGCCTGATAAAGGGGACACCATTCTTGTCCTTTTTATTAGGTGATCACAGAATGGCTGAGAAATTTTAAAGGAATACTGCAAAATAATACGACTTCTTTCAATTTGATTTTTAAAGTCACAAATTAGAAGCTACTGGAAAATTATGATGCACGTTCACCTAGCTTGAAGTACAGCAGCAGTGATGAAAGTTTGCAGAGCATACCCTCATACCTGCACCAGATTAATTGCTACAACTGGGGTATATAACTCATTTACATGCCAGCAGATTCTATTTATTTACATTATCAATTCATAGAAAAGGAAGTGCATATTAATAAAAAATAAAATCTTGCAAGGCAAAAGCAAGACTATGCAGGAATGATTCCAGAAGCTGGCTACTGCTCCCTGTGATTTGACAGAGTCACGTGCTGAAGGCTGTTACTGCTTAGGAGCAGAGATTTACAAGATTTTCAGGATCAGGGATTATTTTTATTATGGCAAGAATTCAATTTAACTTTACAGTTCACTGGGTACATTATTTAATGATGATTTTATTATCTCAACATTTTTCCTTAGAACACATCATTCAATTAAAAACATTTGTAGGATATTACTGAGATATTTTCTTTCAAATATATCAGTTTATCACTTGACAACATAGTAGAGAAGTGAAAAACTAATGTTTTGAGAAAGTTAGTATACATGTTTTGGCAAAAAAAATATTAAAGGAAATTTTTTTCATTCTGATATGAGATTAAATGAAACTGATTTGAAATCAAATATCAGAATTTCTTAGAGAATGGAAATTTAGTCACTTCTGATTAGACTGGTGCATCAAAAGGAATGAAGGTTTATTTGACAATGATTGTGTTGTTTTTTCTAGTGATTGTGATTATCTTAGGATCACAGCTCTGCAGGAAAATCGCATTAAAGTATGCCTTTAGGTTACGTATAAAACAACAATAATGTTTTCTCCTTTGTGTTGATGAAGAAGCAATGTTCTTTCCTTTCAATACTATTGCCATTTCTTTTCTCTAAGAAAAACGCCAAAACCAAACAAAGTGAAAAATTGTAAATCTCACTGTATTTTTCCCTGGATCCATCAATTCCTTTCTTGCTTTTACAGCCATGTGTTTGTCTATGGCAAACTGTCTAGAACTGTTAAAAATCTCTTTGTATAGCAAATTCTCAGTAATATGAAAAGTCTAACTCATCATTTCTTGGAGGGCAGTTCAAAATTCTTAGCTATCACAAACAGATTTGTACTCATTTGATGCAGAAAACAAAATAACCACAAATTAATCACAAAAGTATTTCCCTCTAGCCTTTAGCTTGAGTCAAGTCACTTCTCAATGATCAACCTCAACTCTGTGCTTAGGAATGCATCCTCTACACTTCATTTAAATCCACTGATACGAAAAATCTTTCCAAAGGCACAAAAACTATTATTTCCCCCATCTTCATAAGGAGAAAAGCACGGGTCTTGCATAGAATTTGTAGTCCTATTTTCTTGATTGCTTTTCTCTCAATTTTGTCTTCAGAACTACCTGGCAATAAGAGCAGCCATAGATTCTGCAGGATGTCAGAGATTTTATGTCACCTGTGCTCTTGGAGATCCAGCCACACCTCACCCACCTGGTCTGCCAACACATGCTCTGAGCAGTGACACAGACTAGAGGGCATCAGAGTTCTCTCCAGACTAAAATAATCTTAATTTAATAAAAATTAGTTTCCAAGGAATGTTTTCCTGACCAACCTCACTTCTCAGGATGAGAAAGCCTGGGCTTTTTTTTTTTATTTGTTTACTTGTCTGTTTGGGGAGTTTTGTTTGTGGCTTTGTCTTTGCTTTGATTTGTAGTTTGGTTTCTTCTTCTCCTCTCGGGTTTTGCTCTACTTCTGGTATTTCCTGTACCTTGCAAGCCTCCCAATACCACGACACATTTATCTCAGAGGAATTCCTCCCCATTGGTGCAGGGTTAATTTGCAAAGGAGAAAAAGGAGTGCTTTTAAGTTTTTTATTGATATTCTGCCTCCTGGATAGCTGATGATCATTAGTGCTGGCCTAAAGGTTCTTCTGTCTTTCATCTGGTTTAGGGCTCATTGACTACCTCGTGCTACTTATGCTCCAGCTGTCATATCTACTGCTCTGCCACCTTTCTGGAGCTGGAAAAACAATAGATTTACCTCTGCCTAAGCTGCAGCAACTCAGAGTATCAGATTATTCCACAGATAAAGGTGGATTCACACTCACATTCCAGTCTGTGGAGCATCTGAGGTGTAAGTAAGTATTTCTACTGCTCCTGCCACAGAGGCAAAATTTGTTAGTAACAGAGATGTGACAAACAGCTGGGTGGTACTTTGAAGCGCTGCAAATGTTTGCTCAAAGACAGCAGATCAGAAGTCTACAGTGTAGTTAGCTGCATATTTCTTCTTCTGCTGATATAACTAAGATAATGTGAATTATAATGCTATTTCTAGCCATGGTCATTAATGTCTTAGAGATATTATTATAAAATAATAATAAAAAGGAACCATCTTCAAAGCTTTCTTGTTGACTTGCCCTCAAACCTGATATTTATGGATTTTGCTTAAAATTTCACAAAACCCAATTGCACGACATAATCCACTTACTGCTCTTCAAATGCATCCATTTTGTTTTACAAATTGCAGAAGACTCATTTAGAGACCAAGGAAAGCTCTTTCCTGATTAATTTCTGGCAAAATTCTCAGTGCTTCATTCTAGCCCTCTGCTATTCTGAGTCCCTAGATTAGAAACATATTATTCTGATAGTTTCAGTGTGATTCAACTGTGGTGAATAGGTCTGCATTTTCACATCTGAAGCAAAAGCAATCTTTGCTCAACTAACTCTTTATGAAAATCAACTAATAGAGAAGAAAAGCTGATTTTTATACTTGGAGAATTTGAGGAACCCCAAGCATTGTCCCCATGCCTACTCCCAAACAAGGGTCTTTTAGCCTTTTTAACATAAAAAATAGCTTCATGCTTGGCTCATTACAGCAAAACCACTGCAGATTAAACCTCTCTATCAATTACAAGCAGCTGAACATCCTTTAGCATCAAACAGAATGACAAAAAGCTACACTATAATGAGTAATGGCTAAGGCCAATTGCTATTTAATTATGTAGATGACTTAACATCCTTTCATTGATGTTATCTGTGTGTTTCAGAATGAAAGTTATCATTGCTTTGCTTCGCCTCTTACAGTGGATGATAGCAGAAGCAAAAAAAGGAAGCCTTTGCAGAGAGAAATGGCAGAAAGTTGAAAAATATATGGGCCCAGCAATACAAGTCACACTTCACCATGCACCCACAACAGACAGGAGCTCCAACACGTTGTGGAAAAAGAAATTCATGCATGGCAGCTCAGAGTGGGGAGGGAGCTTGAAAGAGAGAGTGACAATGCAGCAGCTGGAGCCTGTGGCATGAGCAGTTCCCATGGAGGGGCCTGGTCCCTGCATTTTGTAAGTGGAAGATAAGAAGGACAGTGAAGTTAGTCAGAACATGAGAGATATTTCAGATGGGAAGGACCTGGCAGGTCATCTGTCCATCCCCCTGCCTAGGCAGGATTATACTTCGCAGTATCTTCCCAAAAAAGATTGCACAGAACAATTTCACAGGAGCAGAGGAATGGAGTAAAGGACATAATAGATCTCTTCCATCTCTAACTTCCACAAGTCAAGAGGTCCAGTCTGTAGCTGCTGTGAGGTGGCCGTGGGCACAAACACTGCAAGTGTTGTAAGAAAGGAAATCTGGGGGGAAATTCTACCCTCAGACCAAATGATGCAAGTGTGTGCAAAACGTGGTGTTTGATGTTAGTGAGCATACAAAGTATTCCATAAAGGACATTTTCAAGCATAAAAATAATCATAAATCATCATTTTCAGTCATAAAGAGTGACCCCAGTTCTGGGAGCACAGTGCAGCATTTTTGTCAATTTGTTTATGTGGCTCACATCTTTTACACTGATATATTTATACTATTCAAAAGGATATCTATGAATTAAATTATTTCCATTAATATTAACAATGAAATATTGCACTTACAATCATTTAAGTTTCCAGTTTCTGACTGTAAAAGCAGATATTATTATAGAATAATGTTTACTTGTATCTTTACAGTAGCAGAATGACAAAGTTTGTTTAGGAACTATTATTTTTCCTGAATTTAATGAAAATAGAAGTACCTAAGAGTACATCAGGTCAATATTAGAGGAAGGAGCGTGAGACATGCTTTTTTCTACAAATCCAAGGTGAAAAATTTCAGAACATTAAAAAAGCACTAAATGACGTTTACTTCCAATTCTTAGGAGAAACATAAAGGAGGAAAACACTTGAAAATGCAATTAAAAGACAATATTTAAAATCCTTCTTCCAGGAAATTCTTACATGTGTTTAAAGCTAAGAATGAAGGGACTCCTGCTGATTAAACCTAACTATAAATATAGTCATTTGCTGAATTTGAACATAGAAGCAATTAGAGAAAGGAAAAAAAAATAAAATAGACAAGCTGTTGGCTGGACAGATCTTAAAATAAATTGCCAAGACAAGGTTTTGCAGAAATGAGAAATTTAAATCTATCTTCATTTTGCATTCTTCTTCAACATTAGGTAATTTTTGGGGTCACTATATTCTAATTGAACATAAAGGAGGACAAGGATTGTTTCAAAATAACATCAAGACACGTGCATATTTTCTACACAGAGAGCAGTATTAGCAAAAAGCTAAATCTGAAATGAGAAATGAAAATAGAAAAT